TATATATATTAAATATGTACAAGATATTATAATTTTTTTTTATCGCAACTTTTTGAATATGTGATATTTAAATTACTTAGCTTTTTTCAGCTGCAAATTTGTTAATTATATTATAATAAAATGTAATTTCAACAGATGGTGATGAAACAATGGCGGAGAAGATTCGCAAAGCCAGTGAAAGAGCTCGTAGACGTGCTGTATCGAACACAGTTTTGCGAGAGTTGAAGGAGGAATATCTGGACGCACCTGTGGAAGACAGCCAGGGTCTGGGCGAGAAGCGGGCGATTTTGGTACGCGAGGACAAACGGAAGATCGAATACGAAGAGAATTATATGACGCGCTTACCCGTCACCAAGCAGGAGAAGCACAGACGTCGTCAGATGACGACTCTGGGCACTCTCGGCGATGAGATCACCACTTTCGGCGAGTCATCCGCCAAGTCCGCCAAGAAGAGAAAAGCTCAAAGGAAGGGCAAAGCTAAAAAGAGTAAGAAATCTCTCACGATAAATTTCGCAAAATGCAAAATTGATGAGGTAAAGAGTTCTAAAGTCTCGAAATTTATTGCAGGTTTCAAGAAAAAGCGGCATCATTAAGAAACGACTTCGGGACTTTGGCGAAACCTGGAGTTTCATATAGCATTAACGATTAAGGTAAAAGGCAAAAAATAAATTTATTCGACTTTTTCTTCGAAACAAAAAGCAGATGCCATTAATACTCGTTACTAAGTTAAGCTAAAAATAACGTCGTAACGTCTAGTAATTTAAAAAAAAAGGGCAACATGTCGACAGTGGAGTAAAAATAGCACGATGGTAATTTATTACTGTATAAGACATACTAATGGTCGTGTAATTGATAATTCTAGTTAATAATGATTTTAATCTTTAACTGTTGTCTGAGAGAGATCAATTTTGATCTGTGGAGTTGAGAGATGAGATCCATCGCAAAAAGAACGGTATTATACTCGAGCGCGTGAACGTGGCGAGTGAAACGACGTCAAACACAATGGCACATACGAGCTTAATGGAAATTATGTGTCGTAATAGGGTAATATTGTAATGTTGGATCGAGTAGCGGACTAACGGCTCCAAGATTGAAAATTGTGAATTACATGTAAAAGTTGAAAGCAGAACATTTTTCTGCTTTATTTTGAAATATTCTCCGGCTATATAGGGAA